TTTCTTTCCAACGGTAGCTTTAGTCAATTGACCATGTTCACACGTAGCTCGGCTTTTGTAAAACTGAATGTCGTCCCCCACCCAAGTAAGAAAAAACTTGGGCCCACACCACCTCAGCTACATTTCCAGTGAAGCACAGTCCATGCCAAGCCTGCAGGTAGCAGCCATTCGCTAATTTGCCTGGATCTTTGCCAAAAACACATTCCTTGGGCAGGGACATCACCCTTCACCTGTGGTCTTCTGCACGGCTCAGTAATTGAGCTTACAAGAGCATTTATGTCGTGGGCTTTAACGATACGAAACCTAAAACCCACCATTTACATCTACAAGCAAATTGACAATGGAGTTTTTTTAAACAGCATTTTTTTTTGGTGCTGTTTATCTTCACTTTTGTACGGCTGACAGACCAAACCATAGAAAATGTCTTTGTTTTGTGGAATACCCAGCAGTGTTAATTTTGACAGGAAATGTTAATTTTATTTTAGTCTTAGTCTTTTGGCTAAAAATTAATTTTAGTCTTAGTCCAATTTTAGTCATTAGATTTATTTTAGGTTTAGTCCCATTTTAGTTGATGAAAATAAGCAATTTTAGTCAACAAAATACATATATTTTTCTTCTTTGTCTTCGTCTTCCTCCGCTTATCCGGGTCCGGGTCGCGGGGGCAGCATCCCGATTAGGGAGCTCCAGGCCGTCCTCTCCCCGGCCTTGTCCACCAGCTCCTCCGGCAGGACCCCAAGGCGTTCCCGGACCAGATTGGAGATGTAACCTCTCCAACGTGTCCTGGGTCGACCCGGGGGCCTTCTGCCGGCAGGACATGCCCGAAACACCTCCCCGGGGAGGCGTCCAGGAGGCATCCTGACCAGATGCCCAAACCACCTCAACTGGCTCCTTTCGATCCGGAGGAGCAGCGGTTCTACTCCGAGTCCCTCCCGAATGTCCGAGCTCCTCACCCTATCTCTAAGGCTGAGCCCGGCCACCCTACGGAGGAAACTCATTTCGGCCGCTTGTATCCGCGATCTCGTTCTTTCGGTCATTACCCAAAGCTCATGACCATAGGTGAGGATTGGGACGTAGATCGACCGGTAAATCGAGAGCCTGGCTTTCTGGCTCAGCTCCCTCTTCCCCACGACAGATCGGCTCAGCGTCCGCATCACTGCAGACGCCGAACCAATCCGCCTGTCGATCTCCCGATCCCTCCTACCCTCACTCGTGAACAAGACCCCGAGATACTTAAACTCCTCCACTTGAGGTAGGACCTCTCCCCCGACCCGGAGGTGGCAAGTAATTTCCTACTTTTGTATAGACCACGGAAAAACTAGTAGTGTAATTTAATACACAGGGTCCAAACTCTTAACCACCACTGATCAGATATAGCGCACACACAGCTAAGAACATAGAATATTTGAATAAAAAAATAACACTTCACATGTTTAACACGTGTTTAATAAAAAACAAAAAGCACACTGGGAATTACAAAGGTGCTCTTTTTAGCTATTGCACAACAAGCATTTCTCAAACTAGCATGCAGAAATACTCAAAAATAAAAATTCCTCCTTTGAGGGCATGCATTTTTCCAGAAACTTTTCACAATAAAATGGTTAACACCCCAAAATAAGTACAGTACAGGACCTGTAAGCTGTCAGTTACGGGTGTCTTTAACACATACAAAAGGCACACCGGGTTATAAAACGTACCGGTAAAACATCTGTGCGGGCTCGGGGGAACATATCAGTGCAAACCAGACATTGTGAAAATTATAAACAGCCAAAAACATGCTTCACTTTATTGGTCTAGTCCTGGTTTAGAGCGCACGTGCACTTCCTCATTGCGCAAAAACGAACAACGTGTGTGCATGATTGCGCATGCGCCTTGAGCGGTTCTGGTACTTTTTGGGTTGCAGCTGCTCGCTGCACCGCTTCAACTGTGCAATCGTGAGCTCGCACGGACTTCTGGCGTGTTTGATATTTTGCTCGTCCCTCGTGAGGGTATCGCACTGTTGAAGCGGTGCAGCGAGCAGCTGCGACCCAAAAAGTACCAGAACCGCTCACAACGCATGCGCAATCATGCATCAACACCGCTCGCCCGCTATTTCCCTAATAACACACGCTGTTCGTTTTTATTTCTACACGTTTTTTACTCACAAAGATTGTCAAGAAAGCGTGTTTGTCGTGTTTATGTCAAATTAAACTGATCACAAAACACAGATTTACTTTCTTTATTTCGTTTTCCTCATCCAACCCCCATAAATCCCTGTGTGTCCCCCTGCAGCACTCCCGAAGGACAATAGGCAAGACAAAAAGTCTGACATGTTGTGTAAAACCTGCTATTTTTAGCATTTTGAGGTGACCCCGAGCGTGTCAGCGGCAGTCCCCAACTCAACCAGCAGGAGGCAGTAGTGGTTCACACCACACCTATATTAGGCTTCTGCTTCAACCCTTTGTAACATTACAGACACCGAACTTCTATCACGCTTTTACCACACAGAGTCACGGTGTCAGTTAACCATGCTAATTCAACCCGCTCCACAGAACACACATCACCTTCCCTGTGGCTTACATTAACATAACACTCAAATCAACACATAGAAACTAGCAGAAGGATAGGAAACACATATAACACAATATCCAGAATGCACCTGGTTTACAACCCCAGCCAGGTCATTACACTATGTTATTGGTCTGGAATAATCTAATCCAGGTTCCAGGAGTTGCTGCCACTGACGTCCCCATCGTCCTTTTCTAAATGCTGTTGGAAGTGTTGTTCTTTTATTGCCAGCAGGGGGCGCAAGATCCTCATTCTTTTAAGGCAACAAAACACTTTAAAACGAGGCTGAAGTTGGTTCCACTTTCTGGTTCACGTTTTGCAAAGATCAATTCCACCCAAATTTCTCAAAGCAGTTTACTCCACACCACCTAGACTCTTTGACCCTTCACTAGATTGTTGTAGACCGATAGCGGATTGCATAAAACATAGTTTGTGATTTGTGAACCTTTATCCGATTTGTGAAACTTCAAAAAGGCCCATTTCTGGATTTTGCATAAATGGAACCTGATTCATGTTACAAAAACTTCAATACCTAGACTTTTCAACCCTGGATTAGATTATTCCAGACCAATAACACATTAAACTTAGTTTGTGAAACTTCAAAAAGTCAGATTTCTGCATTTTTTAGCATCCAGACCACATTGGAACTGATTCCTGTGCAAAGAACACAATACATACACTCTTTAACCCTGGATTAATCCAGAATCTAGAATAATCTAGTCCATGTTTGAAGAGGCTATGTTGTAGCTTTATAATAGCAAACTAAAGAGGCTTTGGGAGCGTAAAATGTTTGTGGAATTGTCCAAGGGGACTAGACCTGGGAACCAACTTCAGCTTCGTCAAAAAACAACGGCATGAGCTAATAACATAAAATGGGCTGCAGGAGTCGCTTTAAAGCCGCTGAAATGGACATAAAATAGCATTTATGTCCATAGTGAAGAATGAGACGTTGCTCTCTGACATCTTATTCTGCTAAAATCCTAAAGGAGTTAACGCTTTTGTTATAACTCCACGGAATGATTTCTCATGATGCGCTGCATCTTCTAACGACTGCGCATCTGGATTAGGCTAACAAGCAGTTAGCAGCGCGTCGTGTTGTTGCAGTCCTCTGCAGTCGTTACGTTTAGTGGCAGCTAGCTAGTTTAGCTAGCTGTCAGCTTTCAGCTCTCGCCTAAATATTTGTCAGCTTCCTGCGGCTGCTAACCTCCAAAGGTCCACCGACAATGTAAATCACTATGTGGCCTAAGAGACGGGAAATGGTAAGTTTAAATTACATTTTGATAAATGACATGATGGCTTCGGCAGTTAACAGTTTTCTGTCCGGGCTAGGTTAGCAAAAGCCTTTCCCGTTAACTTTGTTTTGATAGTCTGCGGGGAGCACACCCTTGTTTGTTTTAATTTGCGGTCTTGCGTGGCTTATGTGAGAGATTCAGCTAGTGAATGCTAAATTAACGTTTCTATTTTTTGCATCTTTTACTCTCATGATGTTTGTATATTTCATTGGTACCCATCGGTGCATCATCTATGGCTAACAGCTGCTGCATCAGAATCAGTAGTGAGCTTTTAGAGGCTGCCTCTGATCCCTTCAACAACAAGTATTATCATTTGATGGGAGTTCGTTATTCAGATGGATAATTCAGATGGAAATAGAAATGTTGCAGTGAGATCAGTCAGCAACAAGAGACTTGCGCAACCGAGAATTGGTTTTTAGAGCCATAAACCAGGTCTTCTAAACTGCTGTTGGTGGAGAGCCTTTCCATTGGATTGTAGATCATGTAGTCAATGATCTACAAATGTGTTCATAATGAAACGTTTTGGTAAACATGTTTCCATGACAACCAAACCTGATGACTCCACCTTCTCTCCATCCTCCAGGCAGTGCCAGTGATGGCCTCCCCCATCCCTGTCTCCACCATCATCCTGATGGTTCTCCTCTCAGCCCAGTCACCTGGATGCCAGGCAGGAAACTGCAAGGGCCACAGGCAGGTGCTGAGAGGGCCACCAGGTTATGTCACAGATGGACCCGCAAACTACTCTGTCAATGGGAACTGCGAGTGGCTCATCAAAGGTACATCAATCAGCGGCCTGTATTCTCATTTTTCTCCTTACAGATGAGGCTTTGTTAGCAGGAGGAAAGTCTTAAATGTGATTCTTATCTAGATGTTATTATTTTTCAGCTCCCAGCAGCACTCATCGAATCGTCTTGAATTTCACCCACATGGAAACGGAGTGCACCTATGACTACCTGTTTGTGTATGACGGAGACTCCTACCAGAGCCCTCTTCTTGCCAGTCTGAGTGGAAACTCTTTGCCTGAACCCATCGAAGCCACGTCTGGAAAAGTAACAGCAGTTCAAACTTTACTAGTTCTCTAGCATTTGCAACCTCGACTGCGTTTCTAATTGAACTCTCTTGTTGCAGATGCTTATTCATCTCTTCAGTGACGCTAATTACAACCTTTTGGGCTTCAACGCGACCTACACCTTCTCACTTTGTCCCGGAGCTTGCGGCGGACACGGTCGCTGTAATTCCTCAACAGCGAGGTGCCAGTGTCCTCAGGGTTGGGGAGGAGAAGCTTGTACAACTCGTCAATGTCCCAAGGCTTGTTCTTTGAACGGCCAATGTGACAAGGTCAGAAGAAACCTGGAGACCCTGTGATCACTCATGGTGACGGCTGTAGCTGTTTTATTCAACAATCATTACATGTTCTCTTTTTAACTTTATTTTTTTCCAGAAAGGAGAAAACTGCCAGTGTAACCCCGGTTTTCTGGGTCACAGCTGCCAGCTTGGTCTCCGTGACAACAACGGGGCGGGGCAGTGGTGGCGTGTAAGTGATGGAAACCCAAACACACCTCCGAGGACGGGTTCTGCCGGCGTGTACTTATACCCAACCGGAGCCATGTACTTGTTTGGCGGTAGGTATAAATCATCATCATCATCATCAACCTTTATTTATAAAGCACATTTAAACGGCGACAACGCCAACCAAAGTGCTGTACACGACAATACGTCACCAAACTAGATACAGCAACATAAAATAGATAAAACAAATAAAAACCGTAATAACAAAATAAACAGGAAAGCACAAGGGTTAAACAGTCTCAGCCGGGAAGGCCAGGAAATAAAAAATAAGTCTTCAAACGTACTTTAAAAGCGGGAAGGGAGGGGGCAAGTTGAACCGTCAGGGGGAGTTGGTTCCAAAGTTTAGGTGCACAAACTGAAAAAGCCAGTTCGCCTCTGGCGACATAGCGGGCAGGAGGGACAAGCAGAAGGTGCTGGTCAGAGGACCTCAGGGTTCGCGCCGGAACATAGGGACTCAAAAGATGTTCCACACAAGAGGGGGCCATTTCATGAATAGATTTGTAAACCAACAGAAGAATTTTGAACTTAATACAAAACTGAACTGGAAGCCAGCGTAAATTTGCCAAAACGGGCGATATGCTGCCGTCGGTCTATGCCCGTAAGAAACCTTGCGGCAGCATTCTGAACCAATTGGAGGCATACCACTGAAGAGGAGGGAATACCACATAAGAGAGAGTTGGCGTAGTCCAGACGTGACGTTACAAAGGCATGAACAACTGACTGAAGATCTTTTTTGTTCAGGACAGATTTTAGTTTGGCCAGCCGGTGAAGATGAAAGAAACCCGACTTAACTACCTGATTTATCTGAGCATCCATTTTTAAAAAAGCGTTCAGAGTAACCCCCAAATTTTTAATTGTTGGCTTCACCAAAACTGACAATGACGGGGGCAGAGATGGCTCCACAGCAGAGGGGGAGCAGGGGGAAAAGAGAATAGCCTCCAGTTTGGAGCTGTTAAGATAGAGAAAATTAGCCGAGAGCCAGGACCTGACTTCACTCAGGGAGTCCATCAGTGGTTGCACAGGGTCAGCAGGTTTTAGGGCCATATAAAGCTGACAATCGTCAGCGTAGAGATGAAAATTTACCCGGAGTTTTCTAAAAATGGCTGCCAAAGGTAAGATATATAGATTAAAAAGAAGTGGACCTAAAACGGACCCCTGGGGAACCCCACAAAAAGAGGTGCCACTCAGGCGTAATAACCCCAGGGCAATATTAAAACATCTGCCATTGAAACAGAGAATACTTTTCACTTTCCGTCCTCGTTAATTTCTTTTTTAACCGTTTATCAGAAGATTTTTAAGGCGCTGCTTCTTGTTCGACTGCTACACCTTAAAGTATCCTTCTACGTTCTCTTCCATGTGCAGGTTTTGATCTGAACAAAGCTCTTGGTGATTTGATCAAATACAACTTTACATCCAACCAATGGGCGAGCCGCTCCTATGGTCATTCCCCTGTAAGTGGTTTGCAGTAATAATGTTTTTAGACGCGTGTATAAAACTAATGTTCTGTGTCTCTGCTACATAAGGCGGCTCGTCACTCCCACACAGCTGTGGAGTACATGGGCAACATGGTTATTTTTGGAGGAGAGCTGGCAAACGGCTCCCTGGCCAGTGATGTGTGGAAGTACCGACCGCTCGAAGATGACTGGCAGCAGCTGGGGTTCTCCTCTTCCAGGGGCGCTCCTAAACTGGCTAATCATGCTGCAGCGGTGGTTGACAGTTATCTCTACGTGTTCGGAGGTGAGCTCGATCTTTTACTCTCACCGTCATGCCCGTGCGTTGTTTTTAGCGTTAGAAAAATACAAAGTACCCGTGATCATTTCTCAGGTCGCACTGAGGAGGATATGTTTTCCTCGACTCTATATCGGTTTGGCTTGCACGGTTCTGGGCGGTGGGAAACGGTTCAGCCCACCGGTGGCAAACCTCCTGCCTCTGCTGGCCACTCCATGGTGTTCCACAACCACTCCAGGACTCTGTTGGTCTATGGAGGCCACAGGCCTACCACTGCCAGGTAGACAACTCCTTAATTATTCTAAAACACATCATCATCATATACCCTGTTGTATATTTGATGTCATTTCTTCTCTTTACATAGTTAAATGTTAAATGGCGAGCTAAGCATAAAAAAACAAGAAAATAAAACTGAACGGGTGAATCTACAAGGCCTCTACATGTAAACCTAACAAACTGCTACTGTGCTGCTTTTGAAGGTTTAGCGTGCGGGTGAACAACACCGACGTCTTCCACGTAGACAGGCGGTTCTGGACATCTTTCCGTTCTCGTTTCCCAGCTGCTGGGCCCAGAGAGAGAGCTTTCCACACAGCTACCGTCATTGGAAACTACATGGTGGTCTTTGGTGAGAGTCGAGAACGTTAGCACATGCTAACTAGTTTGATTTGCCGCGTTGCCAGTAGCTTATCTATTCACTTCCAGGAGGAAATGTGCACATCCACTACCAAGAGGAGAAATGCTACGACGAGGAAATCTTTTTTTACCACTTGGGCTGCCATCAGTGGGTGTCGTCAGGGACGAGGTGGTCATCCAGTGAGTACGCGTAGATGGTATCCTGTTGGACCTCTTGTTGCGTGAATGTCATTAAAACTTGTGCAAATATCTTCATTTCTAAGATGGAGAGGCTGTAAGGGGCCGATACTCGCACGTGGCTGCCGTGATGGAGGGACGTGTGTTGCTGGTTGCCGGTGGTTACAGTGGTGTTGCCCGTGGAGACCTCATGGCCTATAGAGTCCCGCTGTTTGTTAGCAGCGGTAAAGGTGAAAGGGTGAGTTTAGGGCTGTGTCCAGATTCAGGGGTAGCATCTTTGCAAGGACCCGTCCTTCCTCGACCGTTAAGCTGGGAATTTGGATAGTCAAGTCTTCAGGGTCTGTCCTGTTGCCTAGCAACCACGACAAAGAGAAGCTTTTCACAAAAAGATAAAAAAAACCAATGCAAATGGACAAAGCCTAATAACACAACCATGTTAACTCATTCACTGCCCGCCGTGTCCTGATCAGAAAAGCCCTTCACTGCCAGCGTTTTTCAGCGTTTTTTCTGTTTTTTTAAGACATTGAGCGCTAGGATGATGTCGGCGCCAAAACAACCAAAAGCAGAGATTCACCTCTTACATCAGGAAGAATCTGCGCGTTTCGAGCGTTATCCGTTCTTCCATAATCCATTGTCGAATTGTGATCAGCAGAAGCTTTTCCGGTTCGCGCCTCACTGTTTTTACAGCAGCGGCCCAAAACGATCTCGTAGCACGTGGATTTTCATCTTCCTGATCACGTGACGTGTGACATATGCGGATGAAGATCGGCTTTAGAGCTGAGATGTTTGTTCTCACGGTGTGGGGGCTCGTCCGACGCCCACACAGTAAAGTCGTCATCGACAGTGAATGAGTTATAATTATTTTACCAGCAGATATTAATATACTAACTCTTAAATCCTCTCACTCTTTGCTATTACAACTCCCGTTCAGCTCGCAATGAATCCTGGGATAGGGTGGGCCCAACCCGTCAAAAGAAAATGGACACAGTCAATCAATCAATCAATCAATCAATCAATCAATCAATCAATCAATCAATCAATCAAACTTTATTTGTATAGCACTTTTCATATTCAAAAATCCAGCTCAAAGTGCTTTACAGGGTTAAATCACCCCATATTTGGAAAGTTTTGTCACTTTGCTGTGATGTCATCGGTTTTAAAATGCACACATGGAAGGATGAATTTGGAGACCCACCGGTCTCGTTTAGAAATCAAAAGAAAGCAGTATCCTTTTGTTTTTGGGAATATGTGAAGTTGTAAAAGCTGGTGGGGAAACTGAAAAGGCAGGTTTAGAATAAACATGATGGTTTAAATTTGTTGTTAAAGAGTTTGATCGGTCACTCTTGAGTTTCACAAGCAGGGTGAACTACTCCTATTTCCTGCATTAGCCGCCGATAGAAAATAGACGGGAAACGCTCAGATTAGAAAAGCCAGTCAGATCTACCTCACACTAAACTACCAGTCATGGACTCGCCCATCTTGACTCACAACGAAGAAGCCTGTTGTTGAATTAGTGTCCAAGAAACAGCAGAGAATGTCTCAGCTAGTAGAAGCTAACCGTTAGCATTAGCAACCCCACCACACAGCAGAACTCTTCCAGGCTTGTGTTATTTGTGGAGATCAAACAACCACGGTGCAGAGCAAACAGAGTCAGTGGTAGAGTCACGTTGCTGTTAGCCAATCAGAGGTGAGCTGTCTGGATATCAGGAAATAAGACTCCCAAACCTGCTGTCTTCAGCTCCCCTCTCCTCTGCTTAACTTCTAGTTCCTGAAACGGGAGCGCCAGAGCTTTTTCCCCAGAGATCGACTGACAAGGAATTTATTTATACTAGAAACCACTGCAGATGTGTTGAAAAAAAAAAAACGAGTGAACTTTGCCTTTAACGGGTTGTTTTGTTTCTGTCTACCCAGGATGCTGTTTGTGCTGAAGCCATCGATGAAAGCATGTGCCTGAAGAACCCAGAGTGCAGCTGGTGTGAAGGCCGGTGTCGAGAGTACCAGCCCACTGACCCGGTAACATTTAATCAATGATTGTTTCTTTCAGCGTTTCTGTTGTGTCTAACCTTAGATGTGATTGTTTCTCTCTCACAGTGTGGCAGCACCGGTTGCTTGGGCCTCGCTCGCTTCCTGTCCGACTGTCAGTCCTGCCTGGTGTTCAGTGGCACCCCAGAGTCTCTCGCCCGAGCCCCCGGTGAATTTGGCTGGTGTGTTCAGAATGAGTCCTGCCTACCTGTGTCAGGTGAGACCTAAGGAGGGAGGAAGGAGGGCAGAAGAGAAGGGTCAAAAGGATGTTGGGAGTTGAGATGGGAGGGACTAGACTGGTGTTGGGCGGGGCTCTGAGACGGGGTTCAGTGACTCCACTTTACGCCAGGCTGAGATCGGACAGGCTACTCAGATTTTAATGTGGCTTGCCTGTCCAATCACACGCTTCCCGCTGGTCAGTAAAGTCGGGTCGCTGTCCTCCGTGTGAACACGCCACACACCAGTCACAGATCAGTAGTATGCTTAAGGACGCTGCTGTATGATGAAGCTCTGAAGAGGTCAGATGTGTACTTTGTGTGCTGACCTCTCCCTCTCGGTCTCACAGAGCGAAGTGCGTGCCGTGTGGACCAGATCTCAGGGGCGTACGGCTGGTGGGGGGAGCGTACCCTTTTCCTAACCTCCCTCCACTCCTGTCGCACCGAGAACTATGTCCCGGGACTGCACCTGCTCACCTTCCAGCACCCCCGCAACGACTCCCAGCCTGACAAGGTACGGAGTCCGAATCTCAACTCTTCACTGTTAGTTGTGGTTGTAACTGCTTCCCTTTCTGCTTAAACTGAGTCCTCCTTCCTTCTTTTAAAACGTTGGCTCCACTGCTGTTCTACATTTTTAAATTGCCACTTTAATTGGTCATTTCTTCTTTTTTAACCTTCTTTTCTAGTTTTTTGTCTTTTATTCAGTTCTTTTGTTTGTCTTTTTTTCTTTGTTTAGAAAATGATTTCCCCCTGAAGTAGTAAGTCAGACATGTGGAGCAGTAATTAGAGAGTAGAGCTCCTGTTGATGTGTTTCCACCTCCATTCATCCTCCACTGTCCTCCGTCCACTTCACCCCCGCCCCCTCTCCAACCAGGTGTCCATCCTCCGCAGCACCACCATCATTCTTAGTCCCACCACAGAAATGGATGTGGCCCTACAGTTCAAGGGCTTCATCCACCCGTTGTGGGGGGGGCCTCCACCTGCACCTCCTCCTTCAGAGACCGTCTCCATGTGGGCTCGCATCCAGAGGCTCCACTTTGAGGCTAGAATGGCATCAGGGCCCAACTCCACCCAAATGGTGAGGATTGGTTCACCTTAACTGGACAAATGTGTGTTTTTTTTTATCTAATATGTTAAAACTCTCGAAGGATATCGTAACAGATGTTAGTTATGCAAACACGCGTATCAGAAGAAAAATCCTCCACCTGTTTTCTGCAGCCTGGCTGGACTGATGTACTTCTGTCGCACATGCATGTCTTATTTGTAATAGGGCTGCACGATATTGGAAAAGCTTGCGATATGCGATAATGGTGATTATTATTGCGATGACGATATTATTTGCGATAAATAAAAACTTAATTCAGGAACAAAAATAATAAAAAAAACATAGAAATTAAAAAATTACTAAAAAAAATTCATAAAAATGAGAAAAGCTAAAGATGTGAGGAAAGGGAAAAAGAAAATGAACAAGAAAAGGCAATCAGAGGATCCCGGGAAAAGCAGAATCAGCAGAAAGAGCAGAACAACGCTAACTCAGGTGTTTGCTAACCATCTAAATGAAGTGTCGGGGCGGGCATCTAACCTATGAGAACCCACCTAATCGGCAGCTCTGTTTGATTTGTTAAAAAACATCATGCTTCCATTTGATTGACAGAATGCATCATGTGTAGCAAACATTTGAGCTAACCATTCATTGCGATATTTATCTGTTCTTTACGACATGCGTATTGTGCATGCTGATATCGCGATAACGATATATTTGCGATATATTGTGCAGCCCTAATTTGTAAGTAGGGGTTAAAGTTGACAGGCTGCTGATGACACTCCTACTGAGGCAGACACGAGTCCGTGTCACACACTAGTGGCTTGATATTGAGCTGCTGCTGATCTCCATTGGTGATTTTTGTTTCACACACATGACCCTAAAGGCTCCGTTTCACGCTGACGTGTTCCATAGAGGTTTGAATGAAGGCAGCTGGACTTCTTTGGTTCCTTGAAGATGTTTCTCTTCTCATCCAAGAAGCTTTTGTAATTCTGACTGGAATAGGAGAGAGACAGGCGTAAAAACGTAACGGTTTGTTGTTGTTAATGAGTTGAAACTACCTATGAATACCCCTCCTCCCTACCCCCCGAGGAGTCGATGATGTCATTAGGTTCTATTGTGTTAGAATGGTTGTTTTGATTAGACGAAGGGGGGTGCGACCTAGACCGAAGCCATTAGAAACTCATTTAGAGAACCTTCACCAGCATTCATTGATGTGTTTGTTAGTTGTTTTTTTTAGGTAAATTTGATTTATTTACATTATTGACTCAGATTTATATTAATGTCGGATCAATTTCACCCCCTTAAAATATTCATCACAGGTGTATCAGGTCTTGTTTATCAATTACTGAGTGAAAATAGCTACGGATTCAGATTAGTGTGTAATCAGTTGTCCTGTTGTCCGTCAGCTGATTTGTTGCTTAAAAGAAACTGATAACTCACCTTTTTTCACCTGTGTGGGTCTTTCCCACGGGTGTGGGTTTAAAACTTTATTAATAATCTGGTTAATCAGAAAGCAGTCATGGAGATTCCGAGTCTCTTTTGCAAGAGGGTGCTGACAGGGACAGCAGTACACAATCAGTTTAAGGCACAAGGATTATAATTAGAAATGCAGTTAGTCTCAGAACAAAAATATTTCTGATTTGAAGACCAAGTTCTGTGAGAAACTGTTTTTTACTTGTTATTTTTAAATGTGAGCAGTCACTCTGAGTTTAACACGCAGGCTGAATGTGAAAATAGTCTTCTAGCCCTAAAACGTCTCGCTTTAGCTGCTGAGAGACAATTGATGGGGAAACACTCAGGTCAAAAAAAGCCACGCAGGTCTGCGTCACACTGTCACTTAGCATTCACGGACTCACCCATCCTGGCTCGCAACGTTGTTTCTGCGTCCATAAGAGAGCAGCATGCTAACCGTTAGCATTAGCAACTCCACAACATGGCAGAACTCCTCTGGGCTTGTGTTACTTGTGGAGATAAAACATCAGCGTTGCAGAGCAAACAGAGTCAGTGGTAGAGTCACGATTCTGTTAGCCAATCAGAGGCAAAATGCCCAAATATCAGGAAAGAATCCATCAGATTCTGTCGTGTTCTGCTCCCCAATCCTCTGGCTCCCTTTAGTTCCTGAAACAGGAGCGCCAGAGCTTTTGTGCCACACAGAGATCGACTCGTAATGCATTCATTGATACCAGAGATCAATGTGTGTGTTGGGGGAAAAATGAGTGAACTTTAATTGTTTGTAACGGTGCATTCACATCTGGCTCGGCCCGGCCTAGTCCTGGTAGATTATTTGAGTTAACATCTGGGTAATCTGTGCGTTTTCCGTGCTCAGCCAACTGTTTTCTTTTGGACCTGCGCCCAGCAGTCAGCTTCATGCTCATCCGACCCAACACACCCACTACAGACTGATTGGCCCGCTGAAGTTCTCGCCTACCGACTAGAGGGGGCCTCTGATGAGCGGTAGAACCAGCCAGCTGCAGCTTCCTACATTTGTGATTCGTTATCAGTCTGGATGCTGTGGTGTAAACATCTTCTCTGGCTGTAGCATGGACCTGCCGCTGCAGCGCGTGGACAGACCGCTGCACAGTGAGACAGTAGGAAGCTGTGTGCTTCATGTCAGAGTATCCAAAAGCAACGTGGCTCACGGCCGCTTTTGTTTACCAACTTGAGGAGGACACCACGGACTTCTCCGTGTGCCTTTTGTCCCGCCCACATGCTCAGAGACACCCGCGTTCATGAGAAGGTTGTGTGAACCACCAACATCATGGTGGGAACAAAGCCCGGCTCTTCGGGGGCGGGCCGACCCAACCAAGATCAGACCGGACCGGGCCAGATTTGAAAATTCCAAATGTGTTCTTTGGTGATGTGTTTACTTAATTTCCACTTTCCCACTCATTTTCTACTCATGAATGGAAAACCGTCGGCCGATCAGGAGGTGGTGGGTCGCTGGGCAGCTCAGCAGGAAAAGGAGCTGAAGCTGCTGGTTCGGCCAGACGGGAATCGACTCTTCTCCAACCTGACCAGGGGCAACCATTATCTTGTTCAAGCTGAGGGTTACCTCAACAGCTCAGGCTCAGGACAGACCAGTGAAATGGCGCTGACCTGGAACAGAACCTTACCTGGAGGCAGTGTAAGCACGGACATTAGTTAGACTCAAAAAGCAGTGAAGACATTTTATCTCCAGCGCGTAACTAAACTGACTTTGTTTTTCCTCAAGGAGATCTCTTTCCTGTTCCTGGAGCCTTTCCGCTCCGGCTCCTGCTCGGGGTACATGTCCTGTCTGGCCTGTCTCTCTGACCAGTCCTGTGGCTGGTGTCCATCTTTGTCCCGCTGTGTGCTGCGAGACAGCCCTGACCTGGAACACTGTCCTGAAACAGAAACAGTGGAGGGCAAACGCGAAGGCCACCGCCATCTGCTGCTGGCCCCTCAGCACTGCACCCTGTGTGAAGAGTACCGGGACTGCTCTGCTTGTGCGCAGGTACGACCCAGCTGAGGACTATGGTTTTACTGTTTCTGATTCTATTCCCGACCAACACTAATATACACTTTTCTTCTACAGGACCCTTACTGCGAGTGGCAGATAAACTCCAGTAAGAAAGGTGACTATCAGTGCAGTCGGCGGGGCAGGTTAGAAGGATCCATACGAGAACCGAAAGGGTGTCCCAAAGTGTGCAGCCAGTAAGCTGGAACCCCCCCCCCCCCACACACACACACACACACACACAACTTCTTTCTCACGATGTCCACAGTTACTCACTGCTGTTTTTATTGTGGGTTTTTTGCACAGAAGAAAAACGTGTGGCGAGTGTCTGTCTAACTCCAGCCAGTGTGCGTGGTGTGAGTCGGCTCAGGCGTGCTTCTACTTCGCTGCTTACCTCACAAAGTACCCCTATGGAGAGTGCAGGGACTGGTACGACAGGTAGGTCGTGCCCTTTGCCCTCCCTCGTTTCGAGAGTTTAATGCACTTCATTGGATTTTGTATTTTCAGAGTTATGTTAAAAGGGAAAATTCTTTAGAGCCCACTGATTGGTCATGATTTTATATATAAACTCAGTTTGCTAAGACTTACACAAAAACCTCTCAGCTGTCCCTTTATCAACAGACGTGAAGGTTTGAAATAGTAGTGCATGTTGTCCTTAGGTCACCTCAGAGTTGAATGTTTTTGAACTCTTCCTCAACAGCGTGCACTCGGTTCCCCAGTGTAAGCAGTGTTCAGCTTTAAACACATGTAGCGAGTGCCTGAGAACGTTTCAGTGTGGCTGGTGTGGCGACTACAACAATCCCACTATAGGGAAGTAAGTAGAGCTGGAAAACATGAATATTTAGACCATTTTTGTGTGGACAAAATGGACTTTTACTATGAAAAAATGACACCAAAGTGATTTGTTAATTCCATTTTTTGTTTTCATTGATGGATTTGTGGATTTTGTTGTGATTTTGTTTCCTTTTAGGTGTTTGAGGGGAGACTGGGAGGGAGTCGACGACCTGTCTGTTTACAACTGCAGCGTGGCTGTGGCTGAAGCTCGGGCTGCAAAGTAAAATGTCCATTAATGCTTTTTGCAGCAAGTTATCTTTACTGCTTATCATAAAAGAAGAGCTACTAAAATATTTGTGTAACATTTTTGATTTATGTTTTATTTTTATGTTAAAATGAAATTTGTTTTGGATAAAGAAGAAACTACATTAAAGTGGTGGTGTTTCCTGTTTCTGTTCATCGCTGGAGCCTTTTGTTGCAGATTTGACTTTTCAGACCTTAGATCTCCTTGTTGTTTGGTTTTAGCCCCGAGCCGCAGACCTCCGCTCCCCCTAGACCCCTGGAGATGGAGCTGGAGTTGGAGCACTTTGACGAGGAGGAGGAGAGGGATGCAGTCTGGTCCTACTCCACCTGTCCTGATGTGGAGGAATGCAGGCTAGGTCTCCACAACTGTCACCCGTTTGCCACCTGCATCAACACTCCCACCTCTTACGAGTGTCACTGTGAGAGAGGATACACCGGCAATGGCACGCTGCACTGCAATAAGACGTATGAGTTTCACAGATGATCGACACAGACACTTTCTGCTCTAAATATTAATGATTTCTCTTCCTTTCCTGCTACAGTTGTTACAACGAGTGTCGAGAGGGCCAGTGCAGCGGCAGCCCACGGTTTGAATGTGAATGCTCGCTGGGCTGGACCTCTGATCCAGACACTCTGGTTCTGAGTGGTGTTGAGTGTGATGTAGACTGTGGCTGCAACTTTCACTCCACCTGCATCACTGCTCCCGGGATCTGTGACGAATGCCAGGGTGAGAGCCCTTTTTAAGGTCTGTAAAAGAACAGAGAGGAATGTATCAGCACATTAATGAATGAATGAACCCCCTCTTCTTTTAGATTGGACCACTGGGCCTCACTGTGAGCACTGCCGTCCAGGTAGCTTTGGCTCAGCCCTGGCTGGAGGGGGCGGCTGTGTGCCTTGTGAGTGCAACGGACACGGCGACCCTCTCCAAGGATACTGTCACAACCAGACAGGCCAGTGCTACTGCACTCACAACACCCAAGGACCTCACTGTGAGTCCTGTCTGCCTGGTTACTATGGAGATCCCAGGTAAGGAGGGATTCACCTCATTTCTCTAACAGTATTAAAAGGGACGTATTATGCAAAGCTCACATTTTGCATCCTTTTGTGCTGCTACATGGGTCTCTGCTCTACAAACTCTCTAAATGTAAAAAAGAATTTTTGTCAGTGATTGGTTTTTGAAATGATGCGCCTAAAACAAGCTGGTTCAAAAAGTCCCTGTTTGTGACATCACAAACAGGCAAAGTAGAAAAGAACCACCTCACTAGAGGAGCTGTGGCTCCACTCAGAGCTCCTACTGGACATCTGAGCTTCTCAGCTTATAGCAGCACGAGCAAGGGATGGGTGGGCATGGGCAGCTCCAGCCTGTTTTCTTAAAGTCACAAAACCCTGAAAGGGCTCGTTCTGGAAGGTACTGAAAATGTCAAGAGTAAAACGACTGAAATCACTATGTGAGAGGGATTTAGTGCAAAAAACTTTCTAAACATGTTGGGCTGCTTTGATTATGGCAAAAATGATAATCACAATTATTTTGACCGAAATTGAGATCTTGATTATTTAAGACAATTGTTTAATTAAAGTTTATTTTTATTTATTAATTTATTTATTTATTTATTTATTGCTCAGGGCACAATCAGGACAAAAATAAATAAGAAAAAGAATGAAACAAGATGATCACAAAAACAAATCCTGGGTGTTTCTCAATGCCAAGGAACCTTGCCTCGATGTCTTGGCCCCGCCCCAGTTGCCTAGGAGATACGTCATCAGGAACCGCCAAGGCGTGTTCCAGTGTTCATGTTCTACCGAGGCGTGTGTTCACTGTTTGTTAGCCGTTTAGCTAGCTGAGCGAGGATACACGGGAGGTGTCTTGTGCCTAGCCTTGGTCAAAAATTACCCACAATACACAGCGGTATTTTCAAAAGGATGGCGGATCAGAAGCCGGCAGCTACTTCGAGGACAATTTTCAAGTTTAAATGTAAGACAGCTAATTTAAAATGTTTTTTTTTTTAGATCAAAGAAGTTATCTTTGGTTGGTTAGTTGCTTAGTAGTTGCAGCTTCAGTGGCTAGCAGGTAGTAACTCGCTTATATGTTTAATTTAATAAACATATACACAATTTAAAAAGTAAAAGAAAGGATCGTTATTTATTTAAATTTAATCTTATACGTATAAAATATAACGTCATCTCCCGTGTCACGTGACATTAGGTGACCGTCGTAGAAGCCGCGGTCACGTGATGCAAGTCTGTTCCATTTAACCGTTTTCTTTGACAAAGAAAGGACAGCGTCCTCGTAAGCAAGGCGCCTGGCCTCGCAAGACATCGCCTCATGAGGCCAGGCGCCTTGACATTGTTAAACACCCTGATTCCTAGTATAAAAAGGCAAAATACACTTAATCATAGTTTATGACCCAAATGCTGCATAATAATTACAGTCAGGTCCATAAATATTGGGACATCGACACAATGCTAACATTTGTGGCTCTATACACCACAACAATGATATCAAATGAAACGAATAAGATGTGCTTTAACTGCAGACTGTCAGCTTTTAAAAAATTGTACGTCGCTTTGGATAAAAGCGTCTGCGAAATGAATAAACATAAACATAATAAACATAAACATTTGAGGGTATTTACATCCAAATCAGGTGAACGGTGTAGGAATTACAACAGTTTGCATATGTGCCTCCTGCTCATGATCCTAAGCAACGTTCATGTCCCTTTAAGAAGCTGTAGCACCTTGAGTCACATAAAAATGGCCGTGTTCGAGATGAGCCAGTTCTGCGCAGATTCGACCACCAGTGATCGGCGAGCAGTGCATGTCGGTTAGATTTGTGTCTGACTTGACGCCGACTTGCTCTGACGTCATGCATACGTAGGCAACGATAACCTCGTGAGATGAAGGCGGCGGCAGATTTTAGAGCAAGGCGCTGCAGTTCCTCTCCACCGGCTGCAAAACCTAGGGGATGATGGGAAACGCCTGGCTCTCACCTGATCTAACATCTGATTGGTTCACATTCTGATCCGAACATCCGGTGGTAGAACATGAAATGTTAGTTGGTCACATGTCTTCTGTAAATCATGTTATGTTGATGATGACTATTTAGGCCATAAAGAGAAATGTGATTTGTGTTATTTTGTCACGTTTCCTATGAGCACACTGAAGCTACAGCTGATAACCTTTACTTATTATTACAGACAGGTCTCCATGTGCGTTATATGACATCCACAAGCACGTGAGGATGTGTTTCGGCTGCTAACAGGCACCAGAATTAAAATAAATAATTAAACAAGTATGAACTCTTAACACGATATCTTCATCCATCGTCACCCGCGAGCTACACATGCAGGGAAATCCGTTCGACTTAAACGCCGGCTTTCAGCCACTCCCCCTGTCTGCTCTCGTCGGTTTTCCAGGCGAGGCGCCGCTCAACTCGAACAAGGCCAGTGTGACTCAACGCGATACGTGTGACAGCCCCATCTAGTGGACAGCTTTTGTTTCTGCGCATACCTGTAGTTATCGTCCACATATCGTTATCGAGGTGAAATCCTCAATATATCGTGATACTAATTGTAGGCCGTATCGCCCAGCCCTAATCAACCATAGAACTAATATAACCTAAGATAAAACCCTTGATATGTCCTCTTTAAAGTCAAACAAGATGGAGCCGTGATTGGTTGGTTTTGTTTAAAGTGTTTTTGTCTAAACTAACAGGAACAACGGCACCTGCTATCGTCAGTGTCAGGGCCGCTCCGTCCTGCTGTCCTCCCCCTCCTCCTCAACCATCCCCCTGTCCTCGTCTTTGGGATGGCGGAGCGGCACAGAAAGGAAAGGAGGACTTTCTCACTGCTTGTGGGTTCTGTCTGTCACCGAGAGTCTGGAACCTTGTTCTCCTCGGCAGCTCTGTCCTCCAGTAGCTCTCACTCTACACCCCGACTCACACACTTACTGTAAAGTGAGTTCAAACACGACTCCTTATTATAGAGCATATGTGTTACTTGAAATAACTGCATAACGTTTGCGTTGCTTTGCAGAGCTCATATGTTTATGTGTTTGATGGCCTTCCTCGATTTCTGGGTAATGGAGTTGTGCATTCTGACCATAACCTTATTGGAGCGTTCTGTGGAACCACGAGGACTCAGCCTATCACGGTTCAGGCCAGCTCAGGTAACCAGAACACACCAGAAACACACAATCCAAAATAAACACAAGATCCACTTTAATTTACCGTAGGAATGTTGTTTTATTGGCAGTATAGAGCCAGCTTCACCATGTCGTGTCTTTTCTTCGATCACTAGGCGTGATTTCAGTTTACTTCGAAGCCAACGTCTCATCAAACAAACCACAAGGATTCAACGCGTCTTTCTGGGTACGACGGTGTCACCAGAACTCCGATGAGGATGAAGAGGGATCGTCTGTGTGTCCGGCTGGAGCCCAGTGCAAGAGTGGGCTCTGCGAGTGTCCTCGGGGTTACGGGGGTCCGCACTGCGATAGGCTCTTGTGTCCTCAAGGCTGTGGAGCTTCAGAAGGAAGAGGAGCTTGTAATGTGGTAAGAGTCGCAACAATAAACCAATTTAATATTCTAGCATTTCTTTACTGATACTAGGGATGTGAATCTTAGAGCAACCCATGATTTGATTCGATTCCGATTCTCGGCGTGCCGATTCGATTCAGAATCAGTATTAACAAAGAGTGTCAGCTCCAGGATGAACTACTTTGTTGTACAAGTTATTTAAAGCTATGGGACGTTTTTATTTGACTTTAAACTGGTCATGCTCCAAAAATGCTAATTTACAATGTAAAATAAAGTGATTCTAAAACTGTAAACAGAAACAATCTTTTGACCAAAAGGCAACATTTATTTTTGCTTACCTTGTAAAATATAACAAATCTGTAGTTACCTAACAGTAGCTTTGAAAGTAATACGGTCAAATACTTTTCAAGTATGTGTGGAAACAAGTTACATGAGTAATCCTGAGTACTCATTTATCAACTTAGAAAATAAATATGAGAATATCTCAAATTTCTGAGTATAGAAAAAATGACATTCAAGCGCCCTCTTAGCAGATTCAAACACAAATCATCTCAATTTATGGGACCACAAAAGTAATCTGAGTACTGACTCTCCTAACAAAGATCAAAAAAGTGCGTCTCAAACCTGTAACATGCCAAATATTTGAGTTCTTGGAATCGATTCTGAACCTTTGTGAATCGATTCTGAATCTTTATAAATAAGAATCCCGATTCAGACTTGAATCGATTTTTTTCAGCACCTCTAACTGATACGTTCTTTTTCTTGTCAGTCTCTGGGAGTGTGTGTGTGCTTGGAAAGCTGGACCGGCCCAGACTGCTCAGTTCCTCGAGACTCCAACAGTTTGATTTGGGAGACGCTTTTGGACACACAGCTGACAATGGTAGGAGACAACGAACATTTAACTCATTCACTTCCGGCCGTTTCCTGATCGCTAAAGCCCTTCGCTGCCAGCGTTTCTTGCCGTTTTTACAGTTTTTTTTTAAAGAGTGACAGAATGCTGCGCGCTAGGATGATGTTGACGCCAAAACAAAGAGTAGACTCACCTCTTACATCAGGAAGAATCCGCGCGTTATCCGTTCTTTCATAATCCGTTGTTGAATTGTGATCGGCAGACGCTTTTCCGGTTCGCGCCTCACGTTTTTTACAGCAGCGGCCCAAAACAATCTAACACATGGATTTTCTGCTTCCTGATCACGTGACGTGTGACGTACGCGGATGAAAATCGGCTTTAGAGCTGGGATGTTTGTTCTCTCGGCGTGGGGGCTCGTCCGACACCCACACAGTAAAAAAAAATGCAAATGACGACTTTAGTGGTCATTGGCAGTGAATGAGTTAATAATCGACTTATTGAAAAGTCACACATCAGCGTTATATATCATTCTCTTTGACAGAACCAGGCCCACCGGTTCCTCCATAGGATGGGTCACACTCTGGTGTCTGGACCAGAGGGGAATCTCTGGATGTACGGAGGACTTTCCTTGTCAGGGGGCATTCTGGGAAATGTTTACAGGTAGGACTGTGTGACCTGGGGCCGGTAATGATTTAGACTCGAGGCTGTAAGAGTTGTTTCCATGTTGTGGGTTTTTAGCCTCTCTCTTTAATCGTTTCCTTTCTGGTTTAGATATTCTGTGATGGAGCATCGCTGGACCCAAATGTTAACGGGTTCTCTGGATGAAGGATCGACTCCCAGTGCTCGCTACCGCCACGCCTCTGCGCTTCTGACCAGTTATGAGCCCGGCTCCGGAAGCCACGAAAGTGGACACAGCTTCATGGTAGTGGTGGGCGGTGTCACTCGAAATGGTGTTGCCATGGATACCTGGAGTCTCAATCTCAGCAGCTTGGTCTGGAGAGAACAGAAGGTTGGCATAATCAAAAAAAGCATCCTTGAAAACTAAATGAAATTTTAAGTGGCACCTCATTAAAGTTAGATTTTATTTTTCCGTCTCTGCCAGAGCTCAGTGCTACCCCCCGTAGCAGGTCACACCTTAACCGTACGCAGAGACGCTTCAGTGCTTCTGATTGGAGGTTACTCTCCAGAAAATGGATTCAACCACCACCTACTGGAGTTCAGTCCTCATACTGGGAACTGGACAGTTGCACCCCACACAGGAACACCACCTACAGGTCTTTAGTTGTTTTATACTTGACCAGTAACTTTTTCACTGGTGCCTTTTTATACACCAGAAAAAGGTTCCTGTTTAAAACCGTGTATTTTATTATTTGTGTCCTTGCATCAGGTTTATACGGCCACTCGGCGGTGTACCATGAGCAGACTGACGCCATCTACGTGTTTGGAGGCTACCGCTTTCACGTGGAGGCAGTGGAGCCGTCGGGAGAGCTCTACAGTCTGTATTATCCTAATCTTACCTGGTCGCTCCTGGTACCCTCACAGGGCAACAAGGTAGGAAGCTTTATTCACCAGACTTTATTTGTCTTTATTTATCTCTCACACTTGTGTCTAGTCGATCAAACTAACTGATCTGTTTTTTGCTGTTTCGTGTCTTCGCTCTCCAGCCCCTTTCCCGTTTCTTCCATGCTGCTGCTCTGATCAAAGACACCATGGTTATTGTTGGGGGGAGGACAGAAGAAGAAGACTACAGTAACTCTGTGTCTCTGTACCAGATCAACTGTAACACCTGGATACAACCAGGTGGCTGATTTAATGTTCAGCTGCAGGTTTGTTTCTAAGCGGGAATCGAACTCCCGCCTGACTGCTTTTCTTCTCTGCTGTTTAGTTTCGGCTGTAGGAGATCCGGTAAATCGGTCTGTGTCCCTCGCCATGGCAAGCTGGGGTGGTCGCCTTTTCCTGGCAGGTGGCTTCAACGGGGTCACGCTGGGCAGACTCCTCACACTGTCGGTGCCCTCTGACCCCTGCGCCCTGCTGCCCACGCCAGACACCTGCAACGGCACCACTGGGAGCTGCGTCTGGTGCCGAGGCACCTGTGCTTCATCTGATCTCGCTGAAAGGTACCGCATCTGTCGATAGCAGCTCTAGAAAACCAGCTTAGTCATTTGAAGCGTTAAGTCATTTTGCAGCTTGTAAATGAAAAAATCTGACTGGAGATGCTGATTTCCCTCCAGGATGGGCTGCTTCTCCGGGCCGTCCCCTTGCTCACCAACTCCCCGTCAGCCAGATCAGTGCCGCAGACTAAAGACCTGCAGCGAATGCCTTGCTCGACATCCTAAAACATTTTCCAGTTCATCACAGGTAGCACACATCAGCCTTACTCTATCACAATCGTAAACATCTGCTGTCAACCCAGACGTGTATTTTATGAAAATCCTCAGCCGGCCCTGCAGTGTAAGTGGTGCACCAACTGCCCAGAAGGGGCTTGCATCAGTAGCTCCGTCAGCTGTACGTCAGAACACGACTGTCGGATCAACCAGAGGGAGATTTTCCTTTCCAGCAACTGCACTGAGACCAGCTGTGATGCTTCGGACTGCCCCAAGTGCACGGCGTCTGGAAAGTGCATGTGGACTCGTCAGTTCAAGCGCACAGGTGCGTAGGGTGTGAACTTGTGTACACATGCGTCTAACATTTAGGGTTGAAGACAATTTCAGATTTTTTTGTTTTTGGTTCGTGTTCCACAAAAAGAGACTCTGTGATGTTTTTTCTTTAGGAGAGACGAGGCGCATCCTGAGTGTGAACCCCACCTACGACTGGACGTGCTTCAGCTACGCTCTGCTCAATGTCTCACCCATGCAGGTGGAGTCGTCTCCCCCTTTGCCGTGCCCTCCCCCCTGCCACACTCTCCACAACTGCAGCCTCTGTCTGGGCTCTAGGGGCTCTGATGGGGGCTGGCAGCACTGTGTGTGGAGTATGGCTCTGCAGCAGGTAGGGGTGGCTCGTTTTCTGAATTGTTTCGTCTTTGATTAAATAAAAATAACGCTCACATCCAACATGTCTGTCCTTTTTTTCTGTAGTGCATGAGCCCGTCCTTTGTGCCCCTTCGTTGTGAAGCGGGTCAGTGTGGTCGACTGCTCTCCGGGGGTGACTCCTGCTCTCCTAAGTGCTCCCAGCTCACCCAGTGCTCCCAGTGCATCGCCAGGCCTCAGTGTGGGTGGTGTGCTACTCGGGGGGGCAACGGCGCAGGGCAGTGCTTACAAGGAGGACTTGATGGTGAGGTGGTAGTTTCACAAAGCGTTACCAAGTCCATCCATCCATCCATCCATCCATCCATCCATTTTCATCCGCTTATCCAGAGTCGGGTCGCGGGGGGTAGTAGTCTAAGGCGAGAGGCCCAGACTTCCCTCTCCCCAGCCACCTGGGCCAGCTCCTCCGGGGGAATCCCAAAGCATTCCCTGGCCAGGTGAGAGACACAGTCCCTCCACCATGTCCTGGGTCTCCCTTTATGTCTCCTCCCGGTTGGACGTGCCCGGAAAACCTCACCAGGGAGGCGTCCAGGAGGCATCCTGACCAGACGCCCGAGCCACCTCAACTGGCTCCTCTCGATGTGGAGGATCAGCCGGTCTACTCCAAACCCCTCCCGAATGACCGAGCTTCTCACCCTATCTCTAAGGGAGGGCCCAGCCACTCTTCAGAGAAAACTCATTTCGTCCGCTTGTATCCGAGATCTCGTTTTTTCGGTCACTACCCAAAGCTCAGGACCATAGGTGAGGGTAGGAACTTAGATCGACCGGTAAATCGAGAGCTTCGCCTTCTGACTCAGCTCTCTCTTCACCACGACAGATCGGTACAACGCCCGCATCACTGCAGACGCAGCACCAATCCGCCTATCGATCTCACGCTCAAGTTTTTCCTCACTCGTGAACAAGACCCCGAGATACTTAAACTCCTCCACTTGGGGCAGGACCTCATCCCTGACCCGGAGAAGGCATTCTACCCTTTTCCGAATCAAGTCCATGGTGTCGGATTGAGAGGAGCTGATTCTCATCCCAGCTGCTTCACACTCGGCTGCGAACCACTCCAGCGAAAGCTGAAGATCACGTTCTGATGAGGCCAACAGGACCACATCATCTACAAAAAGCCGAGACGTGATCCTCAGACCACCAAAACAGATGCCCTCCACACCTTGGCTGCACCTAGAAATCCTGTCCATAAAGGTTATGAACAGAATCGGTGACAAAGGGCAGCCTTGGCGGAGTCCAACTCTCACTGGGAACGAGTCCGACTTACTGCCGGCAATGCGGACCAAGCTCTGACACCGGTCATACAGGGACCTAACAGCCCGTGTCAGAGGGCCTGGTACCCCATACTCCCGGAGTACCCCCACAGGGCCCCCCAAAGGACACGGTCGAACACCTTCTCCAAATCCACAAAACTCATGTAGACTGGTTGGGCAAATTCCCACGCACCCTCCAGGATCCCCCTAAGGGTATAGAGCTGGTCCAGTGTTCCACGGCCAGGACGAAAACCACATTGCTCCTCCTGAATCAGAGGTTCAACAATCCGACGGACCCTCCTCTCCAGAAACCCTGAATAGACCTTACCAGGAAGGCTCAGGAGTGTGATCCCCCTGTAGTTGGAACACACTCTGCGGTCCTCCTTTTTAAATAAGGGGACCACCACCCCGGTCTGCCAGGCCAGTGGGACTGCCCCCAATGTCCACGCGATATTGCAGAGCCGCGTCAGCCAACACAGCCGCACAATATCCAGAGCCTTAAGGAACTCCGGGCGGATCTCATCCACCCCTGGAGCCTTGCCACAGAGGAGCTTTTTAACCACCTCAGTGACCTCAGCACCAGAGATTTGAGAGGCCAACCCAAAGTTCCCAGACTCTGCTTCCTCACTGGAAGACGTGTCGGTGGGATTGAGGAGGTCTTCCAAGTATTCTGCCCACCGATCCACAACGTCCTGAGTAGAGGTCAGCAGCACACCGTCCCCACTATAGATAGTGTTGGTAGCGCACTGCTTTCTCCCCATGAGCCGCCGGACGGTGGACCAGAATCTCCTCGAAGCCATACGGAAGTCTTGCTCCATGGTCTCACCGAACTCCTCCCATGCCCGGGTTTTTGCCTTGGCGATCACCCGAGCCGCATTCCACTTGGACTGCCGGTACCCGTCAGCTGCCTCTGGAGTCCCACAGGCCAAAAAACCTGATAGGACTCTTTCTTCAGCTTGGCAGCATCCCTAACCGCCGGTGTTCACCAGTGGGTTCGGGGGTTTGCCACCACGTCAGGCACTGACGATCCTGTGACCACAGCTCCGGTCGGCCGCCTCAACAATGGAGGCACGGAACAGGGTCCATTCAGACTCAGTGTCCCCCGCCTCCCCTGGAACATTTTGGAAGTTCTGTTGGAGGTGGGAATTGAAGCTCCTTCTGACAGGAGACCCTGCCAGACTCTCCCAGCAGATCCTCGCGATACGTTTGGCTCTGCCTGGT